ACAAAGGGCAAACCCCAAAAAAAATCTAATTTGATTGCGACAAAAATTTATACAGAGGCGGAGCGATACCACATGCAATACAATTAGATCAATCAAAATGAATGATGACAATTGTTAAAAAACATGCCCACACAAAAAAAAGCAAAATCAGCATTGGAACATGATTAAACCAGCGATGAAAAAGCAGAAAACATCTGAGCAGAAACTCTTCAAGCCTAATTCTTTTTTAATTCCAAAAAGATTAAAACATTTTACGTACCCTTCCCTTCATAACACATCCAGTAACACAACCCTTTTCGCGCATCAACTGACGCAAAAACAGGCTACTAAGCCGATATAAAACAAGCCTAAACTTAAATAAGCCAAAAAATTAATTTAAATAAACCGAGTGGTAAAATGCAACCAAATTAAAAAGCACAGAGGGGAACGTCAAATTGTGTTTCATGAGACAATAGTCATTAAACATAGCCCTCAGTCCTCTGTGTCAAACAAATTTTCCGACTTTCTAAACGTAGTCAAAAGCATGATTAAAAAAGATGAACGCTAGTTCGAACCATAATGGAACATGAAGCCAAAAAGAAATTAAGGTTGAAAAGCTAGTCGAGCATAAACTATTGTCAAATCATAGTCGTACAAAAGGTCGAAGGTCATTGTACAATCAATTTCTGCAATGTTAATACAAAAGCACAGCAAAATTGGCCAAATCAAGCTAGAACAATATAAAAAATATAGCAAAATGCCTCTATACTACTAAATAACCCCACACGCTATCAGTATCTACCATATTATTAAAAAAATTCTGTTTGCGCCTGTAGTTTCTTAGTTAAAAGCTTACAGAGCGGGACATTTTATATTTTCATCTTTGGATTGTTAAATAGATCCTAGCACTTATGATTGAAGACACTGATTACAATGTGAAAATTTTGACCCAAATACCTATCAGAGGTGACCTATCAATGAGACGCATGTTCTTATCCTAATGTTAACCGATAACTTTCCTAACTATAAGTTACCTCCGATAGGTACATGGGTCAAAATTCCACGTTTTAATCAGCCTCTTCAATCTCAACAGTTAGGACGTGTTAGAGAATCGAGGATCGAATTGAGAGTCAAAAACAAAAAAATGTACGAAAAGTTAGAGATGGCCTGGAAGTTGTTAAGGTTCAATAAAAACGCAACTTCAATATTACAATTTGAAACCAAAATTGTTTAGGAGAAAAAAGTTTAGTTCCCTGTTACAAGATGCTTGCTCTCGCAAGTGTAACAGAGGCAAGGCGGAGCTTCGCAACACTTGCGATATTCTGGAAACATTGTATTACTAGATATTTAATTTAAAAAAGGAAGTCAATTGTTTGAAAAACTACCCTGAAAAAAAACTTTAAAGTCCAAAAATCTATATCTAACAAGACTCATACCTTTGTTTTGAATGATATTCATAATGAATATTGAGACACAATGAAAAAACTTGCATCAACTCAACAAAAAGGAATTCAATTGAACGTAGAAAGAAAACAAAGGTCAAACCGCAAAAAAAACCAAATTTGATTGCGAAAAAAACTTATACAGAGGCGGAGCGATACCACTTGCAATACAATTAGATCAATCAAAATGAATCAAGATAATTGTGAAAAAACATGCCCTAACAAAAGAAAGCAAAATCAGCATTGGAACATGATTAAACCAGCGATGAAAAAGCAGAAAACATCTGAGCAGAAACTCTTCAAGCCTAATTCTTTTTTAATTCCAAACAGACTAAAACGTCTTACGTACCCTTCCCGTCATAGCACATCCACTAACACAACAACTTTTTCGCGCATCAAACGACGCAAAAACAGGCTACTAAGCCGATATAAAACAGGCCTAAACTTATACAACCAAAAAATGAATTTCAACAAGCCGAGTGGTAAGAATGCAACCAATTTAAAAAGCACAGAGGGGAACGTCAAATTGTGTTTCATGAGACATTAGTCATGAAACATAGCCCTCAGTCCTTTGTGTCAAACAAACTTTTCGACTTTCCAAACATAGTCAAAAGCATGGTTAAAAAAGATGAACGCTAGTTCGAACCATATTTGAACATAAAGTCAAAAATAAATTATGGTCGAAAGCTAGTCGAGCATAAACTATTGTCAAATCATAGTCGTACACAAGGTCGAAGACAGCTTCGAAACATAATCGAACCCCAGCAAAAGTCTACAAACGATCTTAAACGAAAAGCTCCGAAGTTCCAAAATTTATATCAGAACACAGTTATTCAACTGATCAATGAGACGCATGTGCCTATCGTAATGTTAACCAATAACTATAGGTTACCTCCGATAGGTACATGGGTCAAAGTTCAACGTTTTAATCAGCCTCTTCAATCTGAACAGTTAGTATGTGTTAGAGAATCGAAGATCGAAATGAGAGTCGAAAACAAACGTACGAAAAGTTAGAGATGGCCTGGAAGTTGTTAAGGTTCAATAAAACAGCAACTTCAATATTACAATTTGAAACAAAAGTTGTTTACGAGAAAAAAGTTTAGTTCCCAGTTACAAGATGCTTGCTCTCGCAAGTGTAACAGAGACAAGGCAGAGCTTCGCAACACTTGCGATATTCTGGAAACATTGCATTTCAAGATATGTAATAAAAAAATAAACTCAATTGTTTGAAAAACTACCCTGAAAAAAATTACTTTAAAGTCGAAAAATCTATATCTAAAAAAATTCATATCTTTGTTTTGGATGATCTTCATAATGAGTATTGAGACACAACGAAATAAACTTGCATCGACTCTTTTCAGGGCGAAAACGAAACCATAGACAAAAAAATTCAAGCTATAAAATTAACCTTGAAACTACGCAATTAAGTTGACTAGCGTGTAACGCACCTCTGGTGCTTCGAATTTTTAACAACTCATAAAAAACCGTACGTATTGTGAAAAAAATCAGCATCATTTGAGTGTTTTCTGACAGCACCAAGTTACAATGTTGGTTATTTCAAACTTTGAGAAAAATTTCTATTCAAGTTTTTTCAATTCAAATTTTTAAAAACCATTAAGTTTTTTTATATCTAAGTTCTTTGAAAAACTTTAAAATCTTTGAAAAAAAATGAAACATCACATCTCGGAATCTCAAACTAATTGGGTAGTCGCATTTGGACGCAAGATTTTTAACTCCTGAGAGAGCTCTTACAGTACCCAACTACAGCGTTGTGAACTTCAAATTTTGAGAAACTTAAAACTAAGTTTTCTAAAAAAAACCTTTTTGTAAAAAACCCGAAGAAACGTCAATCTCAAAAACAACCAAAAGATTTAGCAGCCACAATTGGAGGCAAGATCTCTCGCAATCCCTGAGAGTACTCTGAAAGTCCCCAACTACAGGGGGTTAGGAACTTCAAAATTTGAAAAAAAAAAATTTAAGTTTTCTGAAAACTTTTTGAAAAAATAACAAAAAAACGTCATATCTGGAAAACTACAAAGACTTGAGCAATCACAGTTGGAGGCAAGATTCGCAGCACCTGAGACCTTGAGATCACTCAGGCAGCACCAAACTGAACAGATGGGAAATTCAAACTTAAAAGAAATAAAATCAAATTTATGTTTTCTTAAAACTTTTTGAAAAAAAAAATCACAGAAAACGTCATATCTCAAAAACTACAAGGATTTGAGCAGTCATATTTGAAGATAAAACTCAACTCCTGGGAATACTCTGACAGAGCCTCACTATAGAGGTGGGGATTTTGTGAAATTATTATACCTAAGTTCTTTTAAAAATCTTGAAAGAATCATTAAAAAAACATCATATCTCGAAAACTACAAGAATTTGAGAAGTAAGAATTGGAGGCAAAATTTGCAACCCCTGAGACTACCCTGAAATCCCCCAACTACAGGTTTGCGAATTTCAATATTTCAGAAACTTTAAAAATTAAACTTTTCTAGAAATTTTTGAAAAAGCTCGAAAATTGCCGTATCTCGTAAACTAAAAGAATTGCTTTTTGACATATCGCCGAAATCGCAAGATCCGGCAAAACCCTGACAGCATCTCATTATGGGGTCGCTAATTTCAAATTTGGAGAAGTAAACACTGATTTCAAACAGGAAAATCGAAAAAAATCGTAACCATTGCAATATACGACATAGCTTAAACGTGAAAAAACTGTTGGAATCAAAATTAGAAATCCAATCACTAGAAAGAAACTGTTGATACCAGATTTTAAAAAATGCATTCGAAAAAAAAAACGGAAAATCAGTCGAACGGAAAATCAGCCGATAGAAATTAGGACGAAAACCACAAATCCGAAAAAAATCAAGATTTTCCAATAAATATAATTGAAAATATTGCCGACAAACAGTTGGAAAAGAGTCAATAAACTCAAGTAAACAAAAAATACTGACTTTTCTATTGAAAATATCTCAAATTTCGAATTTCAAAAGAAAAATAGGTGCACGTTTTTTGTGACTTTTACAATTTTGCTATTCCAAAGAGAGTTTGCCTTCCTTCAAACATAGGAAACATAGATTAAAAAATCAAAGTCACCGCAAAAAAGTAAATTTTGGCCTGAACAAAATGAAAAAAAAATAACGAATTACATTAGAATTTAACTACGTTCATCGAATCATAGAAAGTAAGTACAACCTCAAATGAACTGAGAGGTTCATGCATTCGAAATTTCAATTAATTGGGCTTGTCAGCAGAATTCAAGATAACTTGTTTACGTGAAAAATCTTGTTCTCGATTACAAGTCATTTGTTCTCGCAAGTTAAATTAATCTATAAATTGAACGTGAGCTTAAAAAAGCAAATTATCAAGTTTAAATCAGCATTTTCTCAGCAATGCGACTATTTTTTTAAAACTTTTCTAGAAAAATTTTAATATACGATTTCGTTAAGACTTGAAAGAATAACTGTAGTTTACTGAAGCCAGTTCTAATATGTCCAGGCTGAATTTTATCTCTCATTCTCTATTCCCTTCACGCAGAAAAACTCAATTTTGAACTAAATTTTTTGTTTCTTGTATAACCTGTCGAAGGAGCTGCAAGACGTGATGACCTGCCACTGCGTGTATTGGTGGGAGAGGGACTTGGATTGTTCATTGCTGTTGCCCCTTGCACACCTTGAAGTCCGACACATCCACCCACTATAATGTCAAAGGAACAAGACATAAGACAGAATGAACGGAAGCAGTAGCAGATTTAGGATTCATTTTCTCAAAGCTAGACTCAGGCATTCGAACCACTGACCACCCTAAAGGTCGACCAATCCTTAAAATTTCTGGAGTCGCTTCAAATTGCCCATTGAAGACCCATATACATTAACATAGCTAATCGAAGATTGGAAAAGAATAATGAACGCAAGTAAATATATAAAAAAAAAGACTTTAATGGGAAAATCTTTCAAAATTCAAAGGAAAACATAGCCAATCGAAGATTGGAAAAGAGTAATGAACTCAAGTAAACATAAAAAAAGACTTTAATGAGAAAATCTTTCTAACTTCAAAGGAAAACATAGTCAATCGAAGATTGGAAAAGAGTAATGAACGCAAGTAAACATAAAAAACACTGACTTCGTTGAAAAAATCTCAATTTTCGAACTTCAAAGAAAAAATAGATGCCCTTTAAGCTCTTTGAATTTCTAGAACCTGAGAAAACTGGATCAACAAGTAAAGTTTTTATTTCGCTGGAAATCTAAAAAGCAAATTCCACTTTCGAAACTAGAAATCGTTCACGAATTTTCGCGACATTTGGACGTTCGTTTATGGAGAGTGCTATTTAAGTCACTTTCATCTGAATTTCAATTGAACTCAAAAAGCGCATTTATAACTAAGTGCATTCATGAATGCATCAATATGTATGAATACACATCTGCAGTTATTATAGACTTTTCCTAAAAAAAGATTTAAAAAAAAACCAGCAAGACCTATATAAGAGTCTTCACTACGTCGCACATTTTCTCAAAAAATGATTTCAAAACCTTGCAAAAAAGTGGCCCTAAAACGTCATGTTTGCTGACTTATCAAATGAATAGGTCTGCCACAAAATCGTGTTTTACGTTCGAACCCTGTCCAGGTTCGAACCCTCTTTTTTGTTGCTGGTCTCCTTCCTTACCTCTATGCTACATATCCATGATACCTTGAAGCTAAAGTGCTATTTGTAATATAATAGCCTGTGTTAATTGCATCTCAACAATATTTGCTACTTAGGTTGCATCGCAATAATATTTGCGACTTAGATTGCATCGCAACAATATTTGCGACTCAGATTGAAGAAGATAATTCATACTATAACACAAGCTATGCTAGTGTAAAAACTATAAACATAGCCACCAAACAGTTGGAAACGAGTCAGTGAACGGAAGTAAAAAGAAACCTTTGAATTACCGAGAAAAACATAGATGGCCATTAAGCTCTTTGAATTTCTAGAACAACTTATGATTGACATTTTTTTTGATAAAATTAACCCAATTTGAGAAAACTGAGTCAATAGATAAAATATTTGCTTTGGCTGGAAAATCTGATAATTAAATTCCACATTCGAAACTAGAATCCGATCACGTTTTTTGTGATTTTTACACTTTCGCTGTTCAATAGTAGTTTGTCTTCTTTTTTGCAATGGAAATGCAGTTAACTTGGAAAGAAATCGCAAAAAAAAAACAAATTTGAGGACTGAACAAATTTAAAAAAATTTTCTGAAAAATTATCACGACCTACATAAAACTCTTCACTACGTTCATTTACTCTTAAACAAAAAACGCAGAGAAACGCTTTCAAGCAAAAAAAAACGAAAAAAATATCGCCACCTCTATCAGAGTCTAAACTACTATCATCGTCTCTGAATAAATTAAAATCGTCTCTGCATAATTAAAATCATGACCTTTATTTTGAAAAATAATTGTCAAGCCTGAATGAAAGCATAGTTATCTCTCGCGTTAAATAAAAAAAAACATCAGACGATAGTTCTGGTTTCGTCTGAAGAAGCATTTGATCCTCTCAGATGATCTACTCCTCAGCCAGTCAAGATTCACACAAGATTAATCACTTGCAATCTATCTTGATATATTATTACTTGCATCAAATACTTGTTATATTATCGAGCGTGTTACCCGTTCGATTGGCTAGGGCGGCTGCCGATGAGAGACAGGTGTGGTCGGGTGAGGTGTGGAGGGTGTGTTGCTGGTGGTGCAGGTGCAGCGACTCAGACACCAGGTCCATGAGGGAGTCACTACTGGCCACTAGAGTGCCACCCTTGTTACCCCCCATGCCAGACTGGTTACCTGCAAATACAAGGACATTGCCCAACACCTATCCAAATACTCGATCTATTAGGCCGTTTCAACTTAGCACAATTGAACATTAATTTGAATTCTCAACTCTTAAGTGAAAAAGTTTGTTTTAGAAGTTTTCTTTCTGCTGCAACATTTACTTACAAGTAGCACCAAGGTTGCTGAAGGAGTCCACGATAGGAGACACGAAACCACTGTGAGCACTCGATCCCGTCGAACCCTCCCTGCCCAAACCCCCACATGCCACGCCACTGGCACCCATTGACACCACAGCCCTTCTGGTGGCAGCTCGGGTGGGGTATCTCCTCCTAAACTTCTGAGGAGGACCACCCCTGAAGTTACTCATCGAGGAGCATGATGACGCAAATGATGACTCTGAGCTAGTGTCGCAGCCGTCCATGACTCTGGGCACTGACCTGATGACTGGAGGGTAAGAAACGAAAGGTGGCATCATGGGCTGCTTTGGCACCGATGACTGCCCGAATTTTCGAGGGGGAGTGCGAGGTGAACAATGGATTGGCTTGAACAGGTAACCCTGAAGTAAAAAAAATTAACGTTTCAGTACCATTACATATTTACAATATTCAAAAATTTCAATTTTGTGATTCAATTACTATGCGTGGATCTCGTTTCCCCTTTTGCATTATGCTAAAATTGTTTAAAAGGTCATAAGCTCAACTTCACGCACAAAATCAGTCTGATTTTTCTAATTCGAAACTCGATTAATTTCAGTTTTGTCTTTTAAAATGACCTCGCGACCAACCTGTACTTCCGGAGTTATCGAATCAATTGAACTGGTGCTGGGAGACCTGTAGATTGTGCTCTTTTCATCACCACCGTTGTTACTGCTAACACCTGTCGCCGATCGACTTCGCACCGGGCCTTGATCTGATAGCTTCGATGTCACCTGAACAGTTTTATTTACATTTAAGTAGAATTCAGAAAATTTAGCTTGAAAAAAAAACTCAAATCAAATAACTTGTAGCATTAACTTTTTCGAGGTTAAAGCTTTGCCTTCAAAAGGCATAACTGCCATGAGAGTAGCTGTGATATTAAGAACTAGCCATGTTTGGATCTACAAATAACTGGCACAAGAAAAACAATGAAGTCCCAAAAAACATTGAAGCCAAAAAATCTTGTTGCCTAAAAAATGCACCCGGCAAGTTAGAGAAGATTCTTAAAATCGGATTTCTCGATTGAACACTTAACCTAAGATTTGGCACAGTAGTTTTCGAGCCGAGAAAAAATCCATAAACAGTCCATTTTTCAGAACTTCCACTTGTTTGAAGGCCATAAATTTTATCTAAAAGAAACTGGGCTTAGCAAATTACAAAGTTAAACTTCCAATATTCTGTTGTGTCGATTAAACTTATGCTATCAGATTTTAAAGGATAGTTATCGAGATAAGTCCAAATAACGAAGCAAATTGAAAGTTGACAATTCCGGAATAATAGCTTTTTGTTCAAAAAATTGGAAGTAGTCGCTTATGCAGAAAAGATTCACCCAATCTGTTATTTCGATTAAATCAAAAAACCTAGATTTTGGCAGGTTAGTTCTCGAGAAAATCAAAAAAGTTTCAAGAAACAGTCAAAATCTATGGCCATTGACTTGCCTGGTGGCCATAATTTTTGTGTCAAAAAAGTGGCCGCAGTCGTAGGCAAACGAGCTTCCCGCAACCCGTTCTTTGGAGTGAACCCAAAATCTCAGATATGCGAGGGTATTCCTCGGTAATTAAGAAAAACTGCTCAAAATTGAATTTTCAGGATGATAACTTTGTGCAAAAAAAATGTGAGTGGTCACTAATGCATGGGAGCTTCCTACTACCCAATATCTCCATTGAAACCACGACCTCAAGTTTGGGAGGTTAATTTTCGAGAAAAACTTTTAAAAAAATTCAAAAAACGGTTAAAAAATCAAACATGACAATTCCGAGGGCCCTAATTTCATCAACAGTTTGGGGATAACCGCTAATGGAGGAGCGTTTGTTTTTCGAAGGCTGTAGACAGAGGTGAATCCAAAAGAGACCGTAAATCAACAGGGTAGTTTGCACGCACACAAGAATATAGGTACTCTTTCTAAGGATAGTCTTTTTTGAAAATCAGAAGAAGGCTTTTTGCGAAAAAAAAAACTTAAAATTTTTGCAAAAGTATTGAAATTTTCCAATGCGTCTCAAAAAATGAACAAACTAAATCCCATACATTTTTTATAATGCCTGTTTTTATCAAACAGGAATTCTATGCAAACATGCCAAAGGGAAGACGTTTCAAATTCGAAGGGGCAACTGAACAAAACTTACGAAAGGGAAATAAGGCCGACAATCATTGAGCGAACACCAGTTGAGCCGAAAAAAAAAACTGATTTGAAGAAACTTTAAAAAAATCAAGTCCCCCTGAAACTAACCTGCAGTTACTAGTACTCATCTAGTAGTTAAACTTGAATTTTCTTGAAATTTAGCATGTCAGCTGAAGAGCATTCAAGTGGTGAGCATGTCAAGTGATTCAACTGATTTTGTTATACTAGCTGTTAACCCGAAAAAAAGTCTTTATTCCGATTTGATAACGCTTGCTAATCGCAAGCGTACAATGCTTCCAGAGAGCTAGACAGAAAACGAATTTCCGAAAATATATATTTCCGCGGAACAAAGCCGACAAAAACAACCAGAAAAATGATAGACTGAAAAAAAAACTCTACCTTGCAAAAAAAACAATCCCGGCCGGATTCGAACCGCAACCCTTTGCAGTCTCAAACAGTTGTATAACCTCACCACCAGATGTGCCGGATGGTTAATTAAACTTGAATTTAAAATTACCAAGCGGTAAGAAAGCCAAAAATACCTGAGAAGAAACCTTTCATGTCGAAAAAAATTCAAAAAAGAAACTTTTACATTAAATAAAAACGTTTATGTCCCTTTTCTTCTCAGAACACACGCACGCACACAAAAACATTGTTCGCTCCCCAAAAGACGCAATAAGAGGGCACTAGACCAATTTGAATTAAGCGGAAACTTATTAAGCCGATAAAAAGTCAAAAAATGAAAATTGTACAAATCGACTTGGTAAAAGTAAAACCCATAAAAAAACAAATTTCGATTGGGTCGGATGTTTAAAATGCTATAACACTCAAAGCAACTTAAAAGAAAATTATTTACGGCGAAAAACTGACGTGGCAACAAGCCGAAAAAACATATGCAGACAAATAATAGGCCGACTTTTTCTTTGAAATGGAATATTTACCTTTTGAAAAAAAAAACAGACTCTAGTCAGATTCGAACCCACGACCTTTGCCATCCCAGGTGTATTCATTACCTCTAGGCTTAGTGCCTGGGAGACACAAAAAAAATTGAATTTATTATGAACCAAACTACCACTAGGAATCCAGATGAGTCCAGTGAACAAAGTTATTTACGGGAAAAAAGGTCTGGCACCCGATTGCAATACCCTTGCTTATCGCAAGGGTAAAAAACATTAATATTGCAGAAGGATTAAATTGGGAGACACCTCATCGTTTCATTTGAAAAACTTGTATCATTTAAGTTAAAAAAACAGGAAAACACTGAAACAGACAACTTCTACAGAAGCTCAATTCAAAACGTTGTCTGTTTCTGAAATTTCCCGTTTTCATTATATTTTTCGGAAATTGAAAAAAGTCAGAAAAGGCATCCATCTGATACATAACTTTAAGACAGATGGAGTCATCGACAAAATCACAATCACCAAGCTAAATCATACGTTCTTCCGAGAAAATATCAAGGAGGTAAGCTCATGCACGTGAGTGCTATGCACTCGTGGAACTTGCAACACCCGTGAAAAAACTCAAATTCGTGCCAGATGAAAATTGAGGGACAATAGTCCTAAAGCCTATACTTCTAATATTACTTGACTACCTGCGAGCTTTGAGGCTAACACACAGTTATTACATAGAGGATAAGCGGAGCTTCGCATCACTTGCGATTCAACGAAAGCGTAAAACTACAAGCTACTAAATGGTCAGTGAGATCGAAACTCAGTGTAAGGAAACTAGGAAAAAATTCAATAACAGGAAAAACTGACGAGACACACAACCACTAGCATTAAGCAAGCTTTTAGTATATTCCAAGCAACAACTAAGCCAACAAGGCATGGTTAGATGCAAAAAATACCAAAGAAAATGGTTTTCATAAAAACAAAATCAACACGTGTTTGGAAATACGAAAAACTCAATCTCAGCGAAAGAGACGAGAAACACAAACACTAGTCTTAAGCAAGCTTTCAGTGCTTCCCGAGCGTCCACTGAGTCAACAACACTCAGTAAAAGGCCAATTGATCCGAAAACAAACACCAAAGGACATAGTTGTCATAAAAAAATTCAAAATTTTATGAAATACGCAAAATTCAATCTCTGGAAAACAGATGAAAAACGCAGCCGCTATCATTAAACAATCTTTTAGTATTTTTAAGCGCTCACTAATCCATCAAAACGTGGTAATACGCCAAAAAAACAAGGACCGGCCGGGACTAGAAAACCCTGACATTAGGTTTCAAGGCACTGCATTACCTCCAGACCAAGTGCGATGGAGCCAGGAAGCTGCTAAGTTTTGATGATAAAGCAACATCAAACAGCTTTATAACTTCACCACCAGATGTGCTCTCAAACAGTTGTATAACCTCACCACCAGATGCGCCGGATGGTTGATTGAACTTGAATTTATAATTACCAAGCGGCAACAAAGCCAAAAATACCTGAGCAGAAACCTTTCATGTCGAAGAAAAATTCAAAACTTCTACGTTAATCAAAAACGTTTATGTCCCTTTTCCCCTGAGAACATACGCACGCACACAGAAACATTGTTTGCTCCCCAAGCGACGCAATAAGAGGGCACTAGGTCGATATAAATTAAGCGGAAACTAATTAAGCCGATAAAAAAGACAAAAAATGATGAAAATGTTACAAATCGAGTTGGTAAAAGTACAACCCATAAAAAAACAAAATTCGATTAGGTCGGATGTTTAAAATGCTATAACACTCAAAGCAACTTAATGGAAATATATTTATAGCAAAAAACTGACGGTGGCAACTAAATCGACAAACCCATGGGCCGATCACTTTTTGATTAATTTAGGTTTTAAAAATAGACTGGATTCGAGGGTGCTGACTAGATTCGAGGGTGCTGATCGGATTCGAGGGTTGTCCCTTAGCCGTCTGCTAGTTTTCGTACCCAGCAGTTAAATTTGAATTTTCAAGAAATTGAGCATGTTTGCTGCAAAATTGAATACTGCACAAATATTCAGTGATTTTGTTAAACTAGTTGTTGACCCAAATAAAAGTCTGGTAACGCTTCCTAATCGCAAGCGTAAATATCCGTACTTACCGTTGTTGTCTGATCTGCAGGTGTAGTCTGTTGTAATTGAAGGAAGTTTTTGAGCCTCCTTCTTTTGCTTTCACTAGTTAAATTTGCAAGGATGAAATCTTCGTTAGCTTTCATTTCTTCCTGTCTTTCGAGTTTGTATTCTTCGCGCACCTGATAAAAATAAATGTTCAACTGCATCCAGCCTCAATGCAACATAATCAGGGCTTAAATTACGTTCGGAAACGAAATGGTTCACTTTCCCACGTTTTAAGAGTTTTTCCCACGTTTAAAGAGAACATTAAATGAACTACACACCTTTTGCAGCTCGAGTTGGTACTCCCGAGAAATTTCGCCAGGGTGTGCAAATATATGTGACACCGCCTTCTTTTCTGAAAAAAATCGGGTGTTACTTAATAATTATTTCAAAAATTTTCCCTTCAATTTATTAACCTGGAGTATCTGTGCAGTGCTTAGGGCCAATTGTACAAGAACAAGGAGTTGTTAAACAAAGACATTTGGCAGAGATAAGACCCAGCGATATTTTTCTTCGAATGTGATCGCTGACTGTCGTTGGAAACTCATTCTGAATTTTATTCCATAGCTCTTCGTCAATAAGGTTGTTTTCTCTAGAAACAGTTCTTGCCCAGTTACTAATTCTATGTCGACAAATCGGACAAGTGTAGTTGACTTCTTCAACTTGCTTATCGAAGCAAGCTAGACATAGTTTGTGGTTACATGGTAATGACACTGGTTCAATTAAAATAAAGAAACAAATGGGACACCGAAAGTGTTCATAATTGGTAATTTCTGCGGTCATTTTCAACGACTCACATTAATTCATACTGACGATAATCATTATCACCTGGAATAAAGCAATTTAAATTACGAACCACAGTTTACTGTACAGATTCTCTCAATCGAACTTGAGTATGACATAGATAATTGGAGAAAAAAAAACTTTTAACTCAGCGGCAGTCTCCGCACAATTTGGATAGTGAAATCTGTTTTTAAAATTTCAAACAAGCATAAACAAAGGAGTTTTTCCGTCAGTTTGGAAAGTGGGACAAATATCGCCTATCTTTAAAGGTGATAAAGGAAATAATGAGAAATATCGCCCCATAAGTCTGTTATGCAACATTTCAAAAGTTTTTGAGAAAATTATTTTCAACAAACTGAACTCAATTGTTGTAACATTCGCCCGAAATACATATCGACGGAAAATAGAGCTAAGCTATAAAACGACTGGCCAGCGTCTAAACAGAGCTCTACATGCTTTTCACCGTCTCTACCAAAGCCAGTTCTTTTGGTGGTCTTTCTAACATCGGGTCGACAATGTAACAGTCGCCTAATTCAGTCACATATGAGGCTAAGAAAAATAGGCCCTATAACCATTGGCTCAAGAGTCAGGGACACTATCTCTTGTGTTTTTCTACCTCAAAACGGTCGGAGCCAATTCGGTTCGCTTGCGACATGAGACTAGAACCCGTTACAGCTTAAAGGCCACTACCAAAATATCCCCCACTCTAGAAAATAAGAACGTCCCCATACTTAGGTCTCGAGATACCCAAATTACTTGAACGCCGTTAAAAACCGGGATGGAACATTCGTTAAGTTACTTTTTATTAGACAGTGGAACATTGATCCATTTCCGATGGATCAACCTAAAACTCGCCTTACCTCAACAAAACAATCATAAAACACGCTCGAGAAAATTAAATTAGGTACTTACATAGCAGCACACTCGAGAACTAGAGGTAACTAAATTAGTAAGCAACTTGAGAATGATCGGGGAATTAAGTTTAATTCAATAAGTTCTAATCGAATAAGTTTTATCTCAAGAATGGAGTTTTGGTTCTGGACCATTGGAACACTTCGGTTGTCCACCTTTCCACCGAAGGCTCACTCTGGTTTAGCTAGATTCCGATCTTCGTTTGTAATCACTGTCTCCTATATCAAGATAGGACAGCTCTACTCTCGTGGTTTTTATTATTATCTTGGAAATTGCGAATAGCAATTTCCCGCTGTTTTTCTGTCACTTTCTCGCAATTGTCAATTCGGTCGTTCTCATCTTTTATTTTCTGTTTTCAGTTGTCGCGAGAAAACTGAGCATGACAGGCTCCATTCGAATTTTTGAAAAAATAAAAATTTACTCCAAAACCACGTATTTTCGTGTTCCTCAAGGTCAAACTTCCAGATATGACCGAATGGCACATACTCCCCGGACTCAAGATCGATGTCCTCATCGCGTGCTGCCGTCTGTCAGTGAATCTCCAGAAACCCGAGTGTTACTCAAGATACAGTGCCAGTGGTCATTTACAGAAGTTTGCAGCGGACTTAAATTTATCTACACCCCAAAATTCACAACCATGTAACATTTTCACACTATCGCTAAACAGCGATCAAAATCTGCACACACCTGCACCTGTGAGTTTTCGCTTTTCAAGCTAATAATTTAAAATTTCTTTTGTCCTATTCAATCAGGAAATTGTCATGCAGAATTTTGGTTTATATAATAGATATAACATATTAATAACAATATCTCATTTGTTTAAATTTCTTTTTGGTGAACCCAGATTTCATCCGAGTTCACCCTCGAGCCCCCTTCCCTCTCAAGACTCAAGACTCTAGAATTTCCATTTGAGCCACCGGCTCAGCTCGCGTTCTTCGCCTTCGAGGTACCAGACCCAGATGTATTCGACACCGTGATCTGTTTCAACAGTGCTTCTTCTTCATCGGAGCTAATCACGATCTCCTCCAAAGCCTTCAGCTGTTCATAGAACCGCATCTATTCTCTTTGCTCCTGCAATCTCTTCGCTTGATTGGGTAAATTCTTCACTCTCGACTCTCGGTTCAAACAGAAGGAACTGTGAAGACTCAGGCTCACGTTCTTCGCCAAGTCTTCCTCTAGTATCGACTCCCTCGCCTTGGTGTTGTTTCTAGACACTCTACCAACTCTTTTCCACCCCGTCATGATCGCATTTCGGTGGGTCAGCAGAGGTCTCTTGAAGGCTTCCGGTCCTATCTTGGCCTGGAAGTGTCGATATTCCTTTTGCTATCTCCTCATATGATCCTTCGTTACCATATATAACCAGGATGTTAACGTCGCTCGAAACCAAGTAAAGAACCTTATGCGGCTCCATACGTGTCTGACTTCCATTGGTATGGCGAATACCTTGCATGCAGTCTCAAACAACTCAAGTCTCCTGCTGTAATCTATCGCGTAAATCGACTCTGCCGTTGGCGTCTTCGATTCCCGATACTTCGTTACATTTTCTTCAATCCATCGTAGAGCCAGCATCGTGCTCACCACCAAGCTGATGATCGGGCAGTCCTAACGACCTGATTTCTTCCACATCCCAGATCAGGCAGAGATTCGCATGATCCGGATACCACACCGTTTGTGCCAGACAGTGGCATGGGCATTCCCCATGTGTGATTTCAATACTCCTAAGGTTGCGCTTTCCCGAGGCTTCCAGGAGAGGTTCAAGCTCCATCATCTTCTCGTGTATCGTATCGTTTTCCTCCACATTTGGAGCACCATCCACCGGTTTTCCGATCACGTTTTGCCTCTCGTGGTCACTCGTGTTCTCACTTTCCAACTCAAGAGCTCTTCCCCCCAGATTTCACTCAAGTCATCCCGCTGCTCTCTCGGCACTGTTCCTCGGATTTTTCTCAACAACCTGTGTGAGTGATGCGACATCCGAGCCAACCTTACGCACTTGGGCACCGAGAAGGCTTTGTCTATCAATACCCTCTGGCTGGATACCTCCACCATCGCCATGTGCAGTGGGTAGTGGCTGCCGCACAGGTTGGCCATCACTGACCCCACTAAGGACTTCGCATTTAGAGGCAGACCATAGGCTTCGCTCATGGGAAATCCCATTTCCGCTTCAAGTCCAACCTTCCAGCTCTTGATGTGTTTCTGGGTTACCTGCAACACCCCGGGCCATGACTCCACACTCAACGCGGTCACCAAGTGGTGTTCTGACTCTAGCCTCTCCAGTGACTGGAGACTGCACATTCTCGAGAAGAATCCCAGAGTTGTTGCTAGGTTCACCGTGGTACTCGCGTAGCACTCAGCCACGATCTGTATTTCGCTCTTCTCCCTTTCGGTAATGTCTTCAAACCAGGTGACTAGATCTTCTTTCTGGAAGGACTGTATCCTGACGCACGACCGTCCATCACAGGTGTGCTCGCCATTTCCACACGTCGAATCAAGACAACTGCCCGGCTCCATTTTCTTCACCGACCCTAGTCTACTCGTCGTTTCACTTGACTCCTTCACCTGAGGCAGGATCAGTCTGTGCACTATGCCCAACGTTGCTAGATCTTCATCTCCCGTCGGTGCTAGCCTTACTCGCTCCGTGACTTCTTCGACCAGGCTCGAGTGGGGATGTGGGCACCAGGAGGGTCTCAGCAATTTCCACACCACTCCCAGGTTCGTGATTAACATGCCATTCCCATTAACCATCTTCAGTTCGACTCTTTTACTTGAGCGCGGTACACTTATCACCTCTGCTATCTTCTCGAGAATCAAACCCAAGCTAGGTCTCTCTCTCTCTCCACAGTGTCTATTTCCACTATCTTCTCTGTCCAGAAACTTAGTAGCTCCGCCACCTCGTAGTTTCTGTGAGCGCCTCCGGCTTCCTAGTCCCAGAAAGGGTTGTACGCCATCCCCATCACTCCAGAAGACACATACTGGTACTCTCCCTTCTTATTGGGTTTCAAGTACTCTCCTGACGAGGCCAAGTTCCAGTGCACGTCATGTTTCTCCTCGAACTTCTTGTTGTAGAATCTCCGTATCTCATCTAACTTCCTGTGGCTCTCTAGAGACTGCCTGGAACCATCCTCCTTTTCTATCCCAGTACTCTGGTACACATTCAAGATGACTGTTGAGACTCTCATTTCCATTGCCTTGCTCCCAGTTGCTCTTATCACCGACATTATCTACCTCAAGAAACAAGTAGCGTCTCTCCTCCTTGCCAGGCTCAAGCCTGAGTTATCCCTAGCCACGTGTTGCATCAATGTTTGATATACCTCTAGACCTTTTCCACCCAACTTCAACTTGTCGTGCGAGGTCAGCGTTTCCAACTCTATCCCCACCAGGCTCCAGGCAAACATCAATTGTCCTGCTGTTCTAACAAAGGGATTTACCATCAATGGCGACGCCGATGAGGACGTCCTCATCGCTTCTTCAAAGTAATCCCTCAACAAGTTCTGCCAAGTTCTCCTCAGATGGCTCCCCAATTCCAATTTGTTAATACCAGCCTTCTGCTGGGTAGCCCAGTTGCGTCGTTTGCGTGACAATCCACTGTCGAGTTTCTTTAGGCAGTCTTCCAATTCCTTCAATGTTTCCAGGGCCACCCACCACGGTCGGGAGGTGTTCCTCGTTTTATTCTTCTCGAGAGGATCGCTAGTCACTTGCTTCCCAGTGGCCTGATGTTCATTTGAGACCCATTCTTTGCCGACGTCCACTTCCCATGTCTGCCCGCTCGTCGAACCTCGTTTCACCTTTGTCCTCTGAGGCTTGAAGTCTTCTTCCGTTGTCGAGTTGGTGGGACCTCCATCTCTCTTTCTACCTCGAGCAGTTTCCTTGGTTCGTAGCTACTCTTGTAGGCTGCTGTCTTCCATCGTGCCAGAACCATGGGGGCCGTCTCTTTCAAGTTTTTCTCCGAGACTGCATCCGCCGAAGGACTACCCCACCCTTCTACCTCTCTCTTTCTCTTGCGAGACTTCACGTCTTTCCTTGGGGGCGTTGCCGTTATCATCACTGATTCGACCTCTCTGTCTCCATCCAAACCTTCCAACTCTTGCCTCCCCCCTGCTCGAGCCTTAGGGATATTAGTACTTTTCATTTT